AAAAGTGTCCCAAAAAAATGTCCTATAAACTTGTTTTTGTTGTAGTGCCTTGTATTATATGGTAATATGCTTCTACTCCTTTTATGTAAAATTATTTGCACTTAAAAGATGGCGATTCGACATGCCCATGTTCTAGCAAAACTTTGGTAGCTTACCATGGTTATAAAAGTATACGAATATAACACACCTAAAAATATAAAATTGGACCAAACGAAAAAGAAATATTAAAAATCAAGGTTAAAAGTGGAAATTCTGAGAGTTTATAATACATGGGTCGAATGTTAATTATGTAAGCTGGAGGGATTGTATGACAAGTCCCCTAAGCTTGAGGGACTTGATTTTACCAAATCTCCATACTACGAAGGTTACATAAGCGTTAAGCGTCGGCTTGTTTTAGGTTGCGGAATGAAATAGAGAATGAAAATGACATTGAATGAAAATGAAAATGACTTTTTTCATTCTCCCAATTAAACTTGAAAAGAAAATATGGGCTTATGGGAGTATGAACCGGTTATATTACATAAAACAAAATAGTTTTTTTTTAACCGGTTATATTACATAAAACCAAACAGTTTTTTTTTTATTTTTTTATTATTCTCATTGATTACTGACTAAGGGGATGTTTGGGATTGCTTATTTAAAACAACTTATGTTTTTTTTTTTTTTTTTTGTAAAAGTGCTTATTAATTTATGTGGTGTTAAATCGGAGTTTTATAAAAAATGTTTGGATTACCTTATGACAGTATCAAAACGCAATAAACTGATAAGTTATTTTTTAGTGTTTGAGAAAATTTGTTTATACATGTAAAATGACCAAAAAAAGACATTCGCCATCTCCCTTAACCTCCACAAATGATTTCTTGGGTATTCTCCATTCCCCAAAGTAATCACGATACATCAGTATTCATCTCCAGGATTTCAGATGAAAATAATATAACTTCAATTAGAAACAACTGGGAACCCCATTAAAAATTAGTGTCTATAGCTTTAAGAAAACATACAACGATTTAGTTTAAATCAAATCAATCCAGCATCTCGACGTTAGCAAGACATAAGTAAAATCAGGGTTTGTAATTTTCGAAAATCTAGTTAGGGCATTGACTCATTTCAATGGACATCGAAAGCATGTAAAAGAATTTGGTATCGTTGTTTCTAATAGAGCAACAAATCAAACTTCATCTATTTTGAAATGATTAATAAAGCACAAATTGCTTGATTGACGAAGAAAAAAAAATCAAGAACACATATAATCGGAAATCAAAACCGAGTTGAAATTACAGAGCCTTGCAACTCACAAAGAAAATACCTTTCAACCAGAAACTTGCAGAGAAGAAAGTTGACTGATGAGAGTATAGATTAGGTTTGGGGTTAAAAAAGTAATTTAGTTTTATAGATGATTAGTTGTTTTTGATAAGTCAGAAATGATTAACTTATCAAAAACTCCTTATTACCGGTTTGACACCGGCATAAACATTTTTTTTTCTTCCCATCCGAACACTAAAAATTGTTTATTACCGGTACCACATCAAAATAAGTCTATAAACAGTTTAAATAAACAATCTCAAATACCCCATAATACCTCTATGCAAACACCCCTAATATATATATGTATATATATGTATATATATATATATATATATGTATGTATATATATGTATGTATATATATATATATGTGTATATATATGTATGTATGTATATATATGTATGTATTGAATGTATTCACGTAAACTTAGGTTTAGTGTTTTAGTGTCGATGTTCATTGAGATTATAAAAAACACTAAACAATAAGGTAGTGTTTGGTACGCAGACTGGACTGGACAGGACGGAACGGGACAGAACAGGACAGGACGGGACGGGACTGGACTAATTGTCTGTCCCATGTTTGGTACGACTAGGACAGGACATGACAAAACTGTTAAAATGACCATATTACCCCTAAATGCTGTAGGGTTTACCACTAGGGCATGCTTATCTGATCATTTCAGACATATCTATTAGCTAAAAATTGAGTTGCATTAGAACCAAATGCAACTTATGACAGAAATGTTGTACCACGAAATAAAGACAGAAAGCTTATGCTTATGCTTCATCTACCTAAACTGAGTTGCATTAGAACCAAATTTATTTTACATTTCATTATAACAAAAACATAATACCAGGAAATTTGTGTTATTAAGGCATTTGGTGAAGATGTCATCACTACAAAAACCATGAGCTTTAGTGAGTACTACAAGTCCAAGATGTGGGCCATATATAAAAAATACGTGTTACTATTCCGGTGTAACGTGTCATCACTACAAAAACCATGAGCTTACTACAAGTCCAAGAATTACATTCTGGATACCACTCTTTCCGGTCATTTCACAAACAATATTACAACACAATTCTTGGTTCAAGAATCCCAAATGGGACCAAAGGCTGGTATCCCTTTACCCTTGCATGCATTCACCACATCCCTACTCCCTTCAGGATTACTCGTTACGATCACCACCTCCGCTCCCCACTTCCTTGCCGCCGCCACACTCATCTCCGAGACATTCGGCCGCCCCATCACCGCCGTGTCGTGAACTATCACCTTCTCCTTCGGATACCCACTCACCCATTCCTTTATTTCTTCCCCAAAATTCTGTTCGATCCCTTTTGCTACCCACAACAAACACACATCCGCTGGACCTTGTTGCAGTAAGAATGACAGAAAGACGCAAATACCAGAACCGGTTGCCACCACCAAGACTCGGTTGTACATGTTAACCAGGTAAGGCAGACCAGCGAAATGGACTTGTCGGACCCATAAGTGGCTTGGCGGGTTCGAGACTAGGGATTTTGTGAAGTCTCCCACTGCACCTGCTAACATCATGTGCTCTTCCTTTCCATCAGAAATGATACCAAAAGCATGCCATTCGGACATCGGTGATGGACTTATCCGACCTAGAATCCCTGGTTTCACTCCTCCCACGAATTTTATAATCGAAGCATGACCTGATGGGGCTGAGACCTTGACGGCAACCCGCCTCACGGTCACCCATGGGATGATGATTAGTATGGTTGTGACCAAGGTGAACCAGAATTCTTGCTCTTTAACCAATCTTGATCCCACGTCTTTCCGGTAAGATTTGGTCTCAGGTACATAAGTTTTTGTGAGCACAATAAACACCCAGAGGAGAATCAATGATACCCAGCCTGCGAATCGATGAGTCCTTTCAAACACATTATGGTGGAGGTGGCGGACGAGGGGGAACGCCGCCAGACAACACAGGCAGAGAAGGGAGAGGATGGCGGAAGCCACACCAATTATCTCATTAGAAGTATCGTCTCTGTCTTTGATAGTAAGGACTAAAGAATACGTAAGCCAAGCGACAGAAGAAACGCCACAACTACTGTGTATCCCACCTAATGATTGAAGTAAAGAGGTGGTAGCGGTTTTGAGGCGTAGCGGCACCCAAGAATGGCCGAGGAGGTTTACCGCCAGCCAGAACACGATGCGTAAGAAGGCTTCACTTCGACATAGTGTCAGAGCAAGAAGGTTTCCGATAGAGAAAAGAGTCGCATGGTTTCTCGCGTATGGAAAATAACCCGTGGCAGCAAGAACTAATCCTGCAATGTTAAGAGCCAAGCAAACCATAAAGAGTCTCTTATAGACTGTAAACAAGCCTTGATGGAGCAATATCACTGACAATCTCGACTCTTTCGGTTTTGTTGGCTTAGAAAGAATCTTTTTGCTGGGAGCTTGTGGGAGCATTTCTGGAACTGAAACTTGAAGGGGCAGCTCGTGCTTGTCGTCTAACTCGTAGCCTTCTTCTATGTTGACCAGAACGTTGTCCTCATCATCTTCATCGTCGGTTTCTAAGTCACAGAAATGACTACTGGCTCGGCTAGAAGACCTCGAGATGATGGCACCCGAAGTTGGCACGGTTTTGTTAGAAGACCCCCTTGGAACCCAACCACGTCGACTAGCTGGAGGTGCATGAATGGCGAATGGATCTTTATGTGGTTGGATCTCAAACGATACACCTCGACAACTTGAAAATCTCTGATCCATGACTTCTTGATGCATTAAATCTCTTTTCTTGGTAGTTCTTGAACAGTGAAAGGAATACGTTGCAGTCTGCACAAATTTTGCAAGTTTATAGATGCAAATCCGTGCAGTAATGGGTTGTATTGTACAACACAAAAATGCTTGCGGGGTTGGCGGTCCATCTGCAGTCTGCACAAAGTTGACTACTATTTTCTCTGCAATCTGCATGTAAGTGCAGAGAAGTGCCCGCTCTAACCCGTTACTAATTACGAACCACAAAAATATGTGTTCAATAGAAAAAAAAAATCTATAGTTTCAAAGTTGTCTGTGACCTTTTGTCCATCAATTAAGTAAACGTATGTTAGCATTTTATTTAATTAAGTTTTTCATTTTCTTTTCTTTATATGTAAATTACGGATTTGTCCATGTGATTCAGTGGTATTTGCAAAAATGTTCCCTAAACTTTTTTTATTATAAATTAGGGTTTGTAATGAATTGCTTCGTCCCTCTAACGGTTGTCCACTTTCTCTGTTAATCTTGAGAGCATTTTTATTCTTTTTTTGTCTTTATTTGAGGAACCAATTTTATAAAAACCACACAAACCATATAGACCAAATCTGTAATTAAGTCCAAAAAATAAAAAATATATAAGTTTTTTTATACTTTGATTTTATTAAATTAATTAATTATTATAATTTAACATATATTAATTATTATACTTTAAGTTTAATTTTAATATATAATATATTTTCATTAAAAATACGTATTAAGTATATACAAGTGTGTATACATATATATAT